GTTCTGTTCTGTTCTGTTCTGTTCTGTTCTATTCTATTCTATTCTAAACAAGGAAAGAAGCAATCTATAACTGAGAAGAAAATTCCTGATAGTCGGAACAATTGTTCAGGGGAGCAACTTGCCTCCAAAAGTTGTGAATGCTCCAACACTGGAGGTTTGGTTGGACATTGGATAATCACTTGTCTGAAATGGTATAGGGCAGTGATAGGAGTTGTAAAAATTACTATTGGTTCTGTGGGTGTGGCATGGCTTGGTGGATGTGGCTTGGTGGGCGAGGCAGGGGATGGGTGCTGCAAAATCCCCATTTCCTCCCAATCAGCTGGGACTCGGGAGGCAGATAATAAATTGGGGAGGGGCCAGTCAGAGGTGGCATTTACCAGTTCTCTGAACTACTCAAAATTTCCGCTACCAGTTCTCCAGAACTGGTCAGAACCTGCTGATTACCACTTCTGGTATAAGGTCTCCTGCTTGAGCAGTGGGTTGACTAGAAGACCTCCAAGGTCTCTGTTTTTCTCTCATTCCTTTTGGCGCAGATGATTAGCAGTGTCAAAAAACCCGAACTGCAACATGTGCTAGCTTCAATTGCACAGGCGCCAGCCTCAAATTAACTGAATTTTGGGCTGCCTTAAACATAACCCGGGATCAATTTACAATTTGCACGAAAGCAAATTTATTTATTTATTATTATTATCAAAAATATTTGATAATAAATAAATAAATATTTCAATTCACATTAAAAACAAATATTGTACCTTTCAAAGTCGTACTAATTGCGGCCTTCCTGAATTTAAATATCGCCAAAGATTAAGAGGAAATAATTAAGGGGGGAAAAAAAGGTTGAAAGAATTGTTACCTGCCAAGAACACATGAGCAGTGTGCTCCAGTCCTGTTTTTTTCAAGTAGCGCCGTTCTACCGCCGTCCTTAAGGGGGCGCCGCAAAGTTGCAGCCGAGAACCTGGGAGCTCCGAAGGGGAACCGCAAGCTCCAAGAAGACTATGGAGAAATAGCAGATAGGTGGATTTAGTTTCCTAGTTCCCATTCTGTCCTTAAAAAAAATCATTGTCAACCACTTCAGGATGAAACTACCGCCTCAGTAAAGAATTTAGGCAAGAGTCTCAGTTAACTTGCCTTTTACATCTGTACACTTCTGCCACCGTAGACAAGTATTGCTCAACTATGGCAACTTCAAGAGGTGTGGACTTCAACTCCCAGAATTCCCCAGGCGGCCTGTTGATAAGGGAATTCTGGGAATTGAAGTCCACACCTCTTGAAGTTGCTAAGGTTGAGAAACATGGCTCTAGATCCGTGATATCGAACCTAAGGCTCATGTGCTACAGGTGGCACACGAAGCCATATTTGCTCACAACTCTGGCGCACATGCCAATGCCAGCCAGCTGGTTTTTGGCCTTCTGGAAGGCTGGGGAAGGCTGTTTTCACCCCCTCCCCAGGCTTCAGGCCTCAGAGCCTGAGGAGGGCGAAAAACAGGCCCAACAGGGCAACCGGAAGTTTGCTAATCATTAGACCTGTTTTTCGCCCTCCTCAGGCTCCGAATGTTTTCCTAAAACCTGGAGAAGGTGAAAAACGGACCCAACAGGCTAACCAGAAATTGGGGGGGGGGCTTGTGGGCGGGGCACTTTGAATTGTGGGTGTGGGCATATGCGCACACGGGATAGCGCATGACCACAATTTTGGCATGCCTTTGCAAAAAGGTTAGCCATCACCTCTCTAGATCAGCAGTCACCAACTGGTAGTCCACGGACTACTGGGGGTCTGTGAGAAAACATTGGTGCTTTGCAGAAAAATTATTTGCCTTTTTTCATATTGCACTAAATCAGGGGTCCTAAAACTAGGTCCCCTGGGATTGATATGTGCAATGGACGTTTGTGTTGTTACAGAGAGTCTCCCCCTTCGGGGTCTTTTTGTGCAGGTCAGAGGGGGGCAGAAATTCCGACTCGGGGTCTGCTTCAGCCTCCTGGCGTGGGGCTTTGGGAGAAGGCTGGAGGGAAGCACCGCTAGTGGCGAAGAGTTGGAGGGTCTTATTCCACTGGGACTGCATTATGGCCTGGAACTGGCTGACCATCTCAGCCTGCTGAACCCCCAGGCAAAGGTACCTGGTCTTGCACTCCCGCAGATCTCCCCTCTGCTGGGAAGTCCTCAGTGAGGTGTTTCTACTGAGCCTCCTTCTCAATCAGATCCAATTTGAACTGAGCTGTTTTGCCAACTCTTTCTCGTGGTGGCTGCTTAGCTCCAGCAACTGCTTCCTGTTGGGGCCCTAAGGAGCCCAGGCGGATAGGTGAGGAGTGGCTGGCAGGGGAGGGGCGAGTAGAGGCTGGCAAGGAGCCCCTCGATGTAAATAACACCGAGTTGGCCACGCCCACCCAGTCACATGACCACCTAGCCACGCCCACGCAGCCAGTCATTAGGCAGATCACATCAGTGGTCCGCGGGATTTAAAATTATGAATTTAGTGGTCCCTGAGATCTGAAAGGTTGGTGACCCCCTACAATCAGATATCCTTAAGAGTCTGCCCTCCATATGACATACACTAGATCAGGGCTGCCAAACTCACGGCCCCTGGAGCAGATGTGTCATGCGCTGCTCGTGCCCACGATCGGTTTAGCAAAGGGGGGAAAAATCTGCAATATGTCACGTGATGACACTGTGAGTCTGACACCCCTGCACTAGATTGAGAGACTACAATTGGGGCTCAAAGTCACCCAGAAAACTCAATGGAAAATGTTATCTAGGGCTACCAAAGTTGAGATGGAGAACACCAGATGATTAGGAAGGAGGAGCAGTTACAGAGTCTTCCAGGTGTAAATATGTTTTATTTTCATTTCATTTCGTACAGTCACAATAAACACAGCCCTCCCTCTTGTCAACAATACCCCCCAAAAAATACAAACCCAATATACCACTTCGACCCACCATACACCCTTTCTTTCGGCCCCCTCCAACTTTCGTTCTTCCCTCCAACATTCCCCTCTACCCTACTCTCCCCCTTACAGAGTCTTTATGTCTCTCTTCTGCCCCCTGTTGGTTGTTTATATTTGTGCAGGCCAGTGACCATATAATCTAATTTCCACTTCTTTTATAGGAGCATTTGGAATCCCAGGCACGAAGCCCCCATTAATGCATCTACCACACACACAGCAACTCACACCCTATAGAAGAGAATTATCTTTGTTCAGCCAGAACCCCAAAAGTGAGTTCCTCACCCCCTCAGGCTCCGCAGCAGGTCAAAGAAGAGAGCTGTGGGGAAACTGCCAACGTGTCTTCCAGCATTAATGGCTTTTTCCAAGGTTACGGTAGTCCCATTTAATTCCTTCCACATAGCAAGGACAGAATAGAGATCTTGTTCCATTAGTCCTGCAGGGATCAAAGAACGGAGCAATTTAGAGGTATTTTGCATCAAAGCACTGCCTTAATTATATTTATACATCTCCTTCTTTTCTTCTGTCATTTAGTGAAGGTGACATGAAGACTCTGACAGAATGCAGTACTGCACACTGCTCACTCCAGGAGTTCGATCTTGACCAGCTCAAAGTTGACTCAGCCTTGCATTCTTTCAAAGGCCGGTAAAATGAGGACCCAGATTGTTGGGGGCAATATGCTGACTCTGGAAACTGCTTAGAAAGGGCTGTAAAACACTGTTAAGCGGTATATAAGTCTAAGTGCTGTTGCTATCTTCAGGAGTCAAGTTCAAATCTTACACCACAACATGCCTGGAAGGATGCATCATATCCAATGGCTTTCCTCCTTCCCACCCATCAAATATCACATTAATAAAGAACATTTGTACCTCAGGGCTGAAACAAGAGGTCGTTGATGCTCTCTGAGCTTGGTGGTTGATTTGTTTTTTGCAAACTTTTCGTTATCCAACTAGGTAATATTATCAGTGCTAGAACTGCTACTCCCTTCTAGCACTGATGTTAGCAATAATGCTTAGATTTATATACTGCTTCACAGTGCTTTACAATCCTCTCTAAGTAGTTTACAGAGTCAGCCTATTGCCACCAACAATCTGGGTCCTCATTTTACCCACCTCGGAAGGATGGAAACCTGAGTCAACTTTGAGCTGGCAAGGATCAAACTCCTGGAGTGAGCAATAGCAGTTAGACTTATATACCGCTTCATAGGGCTTTCAGCCCTCTCTAAGCGGTTTACAGAGTCAGCATATCGCCCCCAACAACAATCTGGGTCCTCATTTTACCCACCTCGGAAGGATGGAAGGCTGAGTCAACCCTGAGCCGGTGAGATTTGAACCGCCGAACTGCCGAACTAGCAGTCAGCTGAAATAGCCTGCAGTGCTGCATTTAACCACTGCGCCACCTCGGCTCTGCATTCTGTCAGACTTCGTCGCATAAATTCAGATCCAGAAACACACACAGATAACTGGTTCAACTGGATTCATTAACTATATACATAATAATATATGAATAAATGTACAATACCAACAGGTGGTTCTTCCAAGTAAAAACGGCAGGAGAGTTACAGGCAAACACGGCAGTTAGTTTCATTTCAGCAGACAAGCCCAGACAGACTGCTAGTTTACTTCTCAGAGCAGCAGACTGCTTTCTTAAGTTTCTATTTCAATTCTCTGCACAGACGCAGATCTGTTTAAGCTCCCATTGGCTGACTTAGTTGCTATGTCAGCTCCCATTGGCTGACTTAGTTGCTATGTCAGCTCCCATTGGCTGACTTAGTTGCTATGCCTATTCATTGGCTGACCTTGTTCCCATGTCTCTCCCAGTCATGAATATTTTAACACACTGTGCTATCGTGGCTCAGATGTTACCTAGTTTGAGTAATGAAACATCTGCAAGAAAACAACCAAGCTCAGGGAGCACGAAGCTCCCTTATTTATGACCACTGGCACCGGCACCCCCTAAGCAAGAGACCCTCTGAATATTCGCACATAACAACCCCTTGCAACGTACCATCCCTGCTGGCCCAGAGAGACACTAGAGTGATAGCAACCAGCTCCAGCCCGTGATCTTGCTCCATGCAACCCAGCAAGTGTTGCATCATCAGGGGAAGAGAGATGGGAAGCTTCTGGATCCGTTCCGAGAGCTGAGACCAAAAAGATGGATATATTTAAAAAGAAAAAAAGAAAAGAATGACAGATGAAACCTCAGCGATGTGCAGAAGTCTTGTTTTTCCAAGCCTCCCTTTCTCCCAAGAATTCTTGTAAGACAGTATCAAACTTGATTTCATTGAGGGCTGCATCGGGGTTGTGTTTGATTTGGGGAGGGGAGGCTGGGATGAGCGTGGCCATGGTGGGCGTGGCCAGCTTGATGTCACTGGTGTCGGGGGTACCTGTGGTGGCCCGAGCGCTCTGCCACTAAAAACGGGCTCCCGAGCTCCGCTTTCGGCCACCACTGCCTCCTGCAACCAGCTCAGGGGGAGCTCTGTTTTCGCTGGCAGAGGCACCGTGGGCTGGTCCTTCACTGTTTTGAGGGCGGCCCCCACGGGCCAGATCTAAGCACCCCATGGGCCTTTGACACACCTGTTCGAAGGGAATCCCTTACCTTCTCGTAGAGGGCAAAAAGCCGCAGGTCCTGGATTAGCAAGCTCAGGTATAAAGGCTGGCGAGAGCCACGTTTGAGAAGCACGAGTCGCATCTGTGGAGAGAAGAGATTAGATCCACTGTGTCTTTCCATTGCTGTCCCTCAATCTTCTGCCCCGCCCTCTCATCAAACCTGTGTCAAGGACTCCCATAATTCCCAGCTAATAAAACCAGGGAAGATAAAGAAGCCCTTATGTAGCATCTGGAAGGCACCACCCTATAGAAGTAGAAACAAAATTCCTTGCTTTCTTGAGTTTCATCCCACTCTTTATCCCATTCCTTCCAAATAGAATGGGTTATGACTTTGCTAGCCTACAATCTCCCCATGAACTTCAGGAAGGAATGGAAATTTGAACCCGGGTCTCCTTAATGCTAGAAGCCCCTGAATTTTGAAGGCTCTGCGTCAAGCGCTCCCATCCCATTTGATTTACACTGTAGGGACAATATAGGTAGTCCTTGACTTACAACCACAACTGAGACCAGAATTTATGTGGCTAAGTAAAAAAATGTGTTTTGTCCCATTTAACGATTTTCCTTGCCACATTCGTTCAACGAATCACTGCAGTTGTTAAATTAGTAACACTGTTGTTAAGTGAATCGGGCTTCCCCATTGATTTCGCTTGTCAGAACGTTGCAAAAGATGATCACGTGAATTCCCCCCCACCCCTCAGGCCACTGGAACGTAACAATGTGAATCAGTTGTCAAGCAGCTGACTACAAATCACGTGACCATGGGGATGCTGCAACGATCATAATTGTTAACAATTTAATTTTTCATTGACGTTGTAAACTTCAGTCACTAATTGAACCGTTGTTAAGTCGAGGACTACCTGAATATGCTAGAGGCATGACCGATGGTTATTTGGGGGTTGCGCTTGTACAGAATGTTCAAGACTGACCATGGGTAGATCTGCAGATTTGCCATTTAGCAATACCGTATTTTTAGGAGTACAAGAACACACCTTTTTCCCTCAAAAAAGAGAGTGAAAATCTGGGTTCGTCTTATACACTGAATACAGCATTTTTTACCTCTCCCCCTTTGCAAAAATGGCTGTGCAGAGTCTTTAGGAAGCTTCCTGAGTGCTCCTGGGGGCTGGGAAGAGCAGACATGAGTGAAAAAAGGCTGGTTTTTTTTGCTTGTCCCCTCCCTCCCTCAAGTCCCTAAAAGCACTCTATAAACCTCCTAAAAACTATGCATGTCCTTTTTTTTTTTTTTTTTCCTTAAAGGGCCTTTTTTGGGAGGTCTGCAGAGTGCAAAAAGGTGTTTTTTTTAATTTGCCTCTTCAAAATCTTGGTGCGTCTTATACTCCAAAAAATACGGTATACTACTTCACAGGGCTTTTACAGCTGTTGTGGCCTGCCAGCTGCCAGCGGAGCTGGTGGCAGACTCAGATGATGAGGAGGTTGGGGAAGAACTTGAGCCAGTTCTGGAGCCTGGGGGGGGGGGGCTCAGGAGGATGCTCCGTACGAGACACAGAGATTGATCTAGGGCCGTCTGATATTTCCCAGCCACCGGAGAGGCAGCTACTTTCGGAGTCAGAGATGAGTGAGGAGGAGGAACAGCTGGGGCCAGTTCCAGATGCGCGAATGCGCAGAGCAGATAGGAGAGGAGAACAACGGAGGACAATGAGCC